AGAGGGAATTATATTGATAAAGTGTATAATATTATAGACAAGAATTTCGCTGTTGAATTGTTGCAATCAATTACACGTTTGGAAGCGGTTCATTAAACAAGCTCCTCATTTTAAAAGACGTAAACAAATAATACTTAATTATGAGAAATTTTGTACATGAGGAAGTAGTGAGCCATCAGCAGAAGCTGCTACGTTATATAGTGAAGTTTAACACCACATTCATCACTCTCCCTTATCCAACCAAATTAGGGTCGGCACAACATTTGACTCATGTCGTAAACGTTTTTGGCTATGTTTTTTACGACCAACCGCCTGACGTCAACTCGCCTTAGGAAACAAACACCCAGATCCGGAACAATTATTAAATTCATTCATTCATTCATCAAAGACATTCATTAATTCATTTTTTCATACAAATACTTGTCTCGCGTGTAAATCGAACCCACGCTCTGCTGAAGCCGATAGCTTAGCAACCTCGCCACAGAGTATTTGTGCCACCACAGCATTTTTAAAAAAAGTCCAAGGGCATCGCTTATCGAAATATCGAAACCCGGCGAAGCGTTATGGCACGAAAACTGTACTATCTGTCAAACAAGCTTTCGTATTTTTTTTTATAAAAGAAATACTGCCCTTACTTTAGGATAACATCGTCATGTTTTGTAAGGTATATGTTGTGAGGTAATCACGTTTTGCAAACATACATTTCAAGCGAACAGACACCCAGATGCGAATCATCTATATGTGGACCACATAAACAGTTGTCCCGTGTGGGAATCGAACCCTCGACCCCCGACGCCAAAGCCAAACCTTGGCGACTGCGCCACGGAGTCATCTTTTACATGTCAGCGGCCATTGGCATTCTCGTTCTAAGGCGTTTTCAATTTTTAATCCTTAGCCGGGGGCAACGAGGCCTTGGCCGCAATTAATAATGTAAACTCGGAGGCCGCCCGCTGAATTTAACATGGGCACCGCAACCGTCTGGTCGTTTCATGAGCGGACCGCAACAAGTCGCCATTCGCCGAAATTAATCTGTCTCACAATGGATAATAGCTGACGTGGAGCGCTGGAAAGGTGTTGTGGCAAATGGGACAACTATTTTCGCCTTTTGAAGAAAATTTTCTTTACGCTCTTTTTTTTACTTTTGGAGTGAGCTGGTGAATGTGTGACGAGAGTTACGAAAAGTGTGATCGGCGTTACGAAAAGTGTGATGTTACGCGAACGGTGATTTCTTGATTATTTCGTTATTTCTTTTTCATCTTAATGATTAAATATTCTACGTATAAAGTCAATAAAATTGTAAATTCATACAGTGAAGATACAGATTACAGATTACAGAGCTGAAGAAGTTTTACTTTACTCGTGTGGTCAGAACACTCGTATTTTTTATGACGAGACTTATACTTTCACTCCCCACAACACAACACACCACCCCTCACCTTCATTTGAAAAGTTCTACGCCTGGTTCGTGATAAAATTATTTATTTTCCATAAAAAGGAATTATCGACGCAATTAACTTCCCTCCCGTTTCGATAACACGCGCTCCAATTTCATTGGCGGGCGTCAATCGGCTCGTAAATTATACAGAGTGACATTATAATGAAAAAGCGCCGCTCGCAGGAAACGGGGCGTTTTAATATTTTTTTTAATTCTTTTGTAGGACTGTTTAAGATATGATTTATCGGTTTCGACCAAATAGCTTCTTATAGAAACGCTTCCAGTTGTTCCGTTGTTCAAGTTGGATGACTTTAGGCTAAAACGATTTTGATTGATTTTCACCCCATTAACAATAACAGAAGAATTGTTTGGGTTGATACTTGCTGGTGAATTTCACCATCGTACAACTTGTTAAACCGCCAAGTACCATCGACACCACCTTGATGGTTGGCGGTCCACCACTGTGTGTTTTTTACGAAATTTTCTACCCTGCAATACTTTGTGAAACGAATTGTCGCCAGCGGTATTTGCAGATCGATACGACTTAGGGACCTACAAGAAGAGAGCATATACCTTAAAGGCCGGCCACGCAATTGCGACGCAACCGATGTTGCAAATGTCCATGGGCGCCAGGTGACGCGCATAATCGTTTGCCTCCTTTTCCCATAAAAAAAACCCCAAAGAGCTTCTACCAGAAAAAATACTCAAAATTAAGATTGAATCAAGATTGAAGAATATGGCTGGAAATTTTAAGATACTTATGTTTTATGTATATTTTTAGTGCCAGTCTCTGCGCTTAAGGCGAATCTTGAAAATGTGTACAAAAAACTGTTGTAATTTACTAAAGTGAAAAAAAAAAATGTTATTAATCATAAGTTACATATATATTTTCATATATCTTATAACAGTAGACAAATGTGTGCGTGAACAATTGTGAAATTAAGTCTGGTACGTAGCAAATGTATGTAAGGAGTAATATGGGTGCCTGAAGGAAATAATAAACTGTACTGAATTTATCAGCGTATATAATTTCCACAGAGAAATAGATGAGCGCACGCGAACAACTTATTTGCTTTCTCCTGTGTGACTGTTGAAATGTTTAAATTAGTTATACGATTATTAACCAATTAAATTGCTCAAATAATTAGTAGGCTAATAAGAGCTTCTTTAGTAATTAGTAACCGTATTGGAATTCAAACGAAATAAAGAAAGAAAATACAATTATTTACCAAAAAAAAGGACGCACACAATAAAAGAGAAAAAAAAAATCTAAAACTACCCAAAAATAAAAGAAATAAAAAAAATACTTATAAGTAATCCAGTAAAGCAAAAGAACACAAATACGTCATTAAAATATAAAATATGAGTTAAACGAGAATTTGAATGTTCGAAACCAACACTACCAAAAAAATTTTTTTTCTACAACTTATCTATTGAAGTCACAGTGAATTTTAGAATTAAAAATTTGTTAAGCATCAATAAGCTTTAGGAACTATTGTATTTCTTTCATTAAAGGCACAATAGTTTTATGGAAAACAAACTTTCATGGTGCGATCTTCCCATCCTTAAGATGTACGAGTAGTTTAAGAATACTTCTTGTAGGATAGATAATCCTTGATCTAGCTGTATTTTCACGCATTAGCAGAAGTTATTTACTTGATTCCATTGTTTGCTTTTGTGTTTAACTCCTACGGTGGAAACGGTGATAATTCCCTTTATCCACTTTTAATGGTTTACAGCGAACATAAATGTGTGAGTGATTGTCGCCAACATATCGCATTGCGGCAGCTACTACTTTTGACGATCTCATCTCGGAGCTTTCTTTGAACTAAGCCTACCACTACTTCGTGGTGCTGTATTTGTTTCTGTGTTTACCTTGGTACGGATAGATGAAATTAATTTAAGACCATTGTAAGCTCGTACCCATCACGTACAGGCTGACTGAAGGTCCACTCAATGTATGTAATATTACTGATACTGAATCTTTCAACTCTTAAATTTCTATTTTGTTTTCGAAACTTCATCAAAAAGCAACCCCAGCATCAGCATATTTCCTTCTGCATTCACGATTTGTTCCTGCATCTACGTTCAGCCACTACAAAGGATTGTTTAAATTTATGTATCGCTGCAAATTTTTTTTAATGTGATAGGTTTCTAAACGAGCAGGCGGTCCTGATGTTAAGTGAATACCGCCGCCCATGGACATCTGCTACAGTTGAGGGTTGCAGGTGCGATGACAACCTTCTTGTAAATTGGGCTCCGGCTACCTCACTCATCGACGAAACGCGAAAGTATAATACTTCCACTTCACGCTGGTCTTCTGTGAGGTGTGGTACTTACCCGGACGAGCCTGCCCATTCGTGCAACAGTGCATTCGAGTGCATTCGAGGCTGCTGCGTGGCATTACCCACTAATTATTTTTGACGCGATGTTCTGACTCATCATCATCAACATTTCAGCTTGTTTGAGTCCACTGCTGAGCATGAATGTGATTATTGATATTGACTTTTATCTACAAGTCGTTATGAAACGAAGCTATGTAACTAACGGCCGTTCGTTGAAAATAGGAACCGGGCATGAGTGGACATTGTCGTTACGATGCGATTTGTATAATTGTAAAACATTTAAAACGTTAATATGTAAAAATGATGTACTTATATATTTTGATGTATTAATAATGATAGTACATTGAAAGTGAGCATAGTTCATATTATCTTAGCCGTAGGTCCTACGCGCCAACGTAAATTAATCTGCACGTATTGTCAATAGATGAGGCAATAATTATGCATATATTCTTTTTTTAATATTCGGATATTTTTTTCATAAGCGGGTAACATAATCTTCGTTATTTTTTTCAGTGTTACATAACTGCGTAGAAGCGCCTACCATAGTTTGTTAGCAAATAATTCATTTTGAAATTAAAACAATAAAGTATTGTTTTAATTTCGCTTTGTTGCTTGAAAAAAAAATAGGTTTCTATTGATTTGATTGATTGACTGTATTCCAATTATAAATCTGGATCTTAACATTTAAATGGTAATGATATTGTTTTTGGACATGTAACATAATTTTAGCAAAAAATAACATACAAAATAATACTCGTTATCTTTATTTATCTTTAAGGAGAGTAAACGATAACCTGTTCGCTTTTAATCAAGGGACGTAATTAATGCTTCAATTTTAATTATCAAACTTCGACGAACGTGAGGATCACTCCAGTTGAGAATATTGCGAAATTAATAACACTGAAATCAATCACGGGCGTTGTGCACAATGACCCGGCAAAGCTCGTGATGATTAACGATCCTCGATCAAGCAGTTCCATGCTTTTATACGATGAGCGAGAGCCAAGCTACTCTAGCAAATACCCGACTTGCGATCTAAGTATAACACGGTAGAGTCACGCAACAGCTATTGCTGTTGCACTAATACGCAGGCCTGACCTCTCTTTTGGACCAAGTTATATCTCCCGAGTACTAGGTTGGTAACTCACCAGTGTGCTGTCATCTGCGTACCGATTTTCGGGCATTAATGTACATTAATAAGAGAATTGCGGAGAGGATTAACCCTTGAGGAACCCCTGCTCCAAAATCCCCCACAGCTCCAAAAGTACTGGAATCGTCGAAATTCAAATTCAAATTTTAACTGTGTATACAAGACATTACACTTACTTATTGATTTACAAAACGCTACCACCGTTTTAGGCTACTTGGAAAATCCTTCACCCAAGGCTAAAAGATATACCGTCCGCTGGAAGCTTGCTAAAATGCTTGCGTGCCAAGCTCTATCGAAGGCTCGATCAAGGGAAACCGCAAGTTCTTAAGGGGCTCACCGATTTCGTCGATATCTGGATTGGCAGCCGCTCATATGACTGTTTACTCAACTATGTATAGATATTTCTAGGGTCTGATTTCTTTTATTTGTTTTTTGACACCCTGTGACAGTCTTGTTATTGTTTTGTTGAAAATGTCTTGGTAAAGTAAATGATATTGTTCATTACTTCTGACTTAGGTAGCAAATATTTTGAAAATATGTGAAATACTAGAAGAAATATTTAAAATTCAAATAATTCTTAAATAAGACAACAACTCAATATTCTGGTGGTGGATTACCTACCGTTGTTAGCATTTATTAAATCATTGCACGTGTTATTTAAGAAATAGAGTTTGACTGTTCATATTGAACATAAACGATAAACATAAACACATTTAATTTTTGAAGGCGAAGTTTCCATTCGTTATTATTAGCTCTGATATGTTCATTATAATTAATAGCTTTCAGTACAAAAGTGCATAATCTATGATTAGCTATTAATCTGTCTTAATAGACCACGTAAAGTCGGGCATGATGAATTGCAGTAACTTTATTCACTGATTTAATGATTAATAAATAAATTTTACTACAAGCCCACAAGCGTTTACCTTCATGGATATTAATGAAAACGTACGTAGTAATATGTTTCGAGACTGCACCGAAGTATTTGAAACTCACGGGATAAATTATAATTTGACGAAACATTGATGAATATTATGGACAAGTTTGTACAATTGGAAACGCGTATGTGCCATAGTTTTACTATATTATTTATTTAGATGTCTGTTTTTTTTTTATTAAATCAAACTGATCAAGGTCTCGCAAGACATGCTGCTTTTATTTACTAATTTATGACGAGCTTATCACATGAAACAATATAATCTCGGTGAAGAGTTGAAGTCTTCCGAATATGATCATAAGAGTAAATGTACACTACATTATAAAGGGAAACATTATAAGCAAAGCTTTGTAAAGCAAGAAATTCCATTTGTAGTTATTTGCACACGATTGCAACTTTCCGCAATGATTTCCGTCCCGGAAATAATATTGCATATGCGGAAGTATCATCCATTTGTGAATTTGAATTGGATTTGCCAGTCTATTGAGCTTTGTCACATTGACAGCTTCCGCCAATGTAATATCGTTCCGTAGGAAGTGAATAACTTATTGGAATACATCTAGTGTAGGTATGACATTTATGATTAACTATCTTCGTAGTTTGTAATTAAGCATATACTTAATGTAAACTATGCGCATATGCTTAATACGAAGTATTAGCAAAGCGAAGAAAGAAAACTGGTAGCAAGGCGTGATAAATTATATTAATCATATGATTAGTATGATTTATTACGCTTTGCTCCCAATAAATCTATACCTACCACTTCTTTGCCCGTCAAAAGTTTTAAATTTCAATAATTATTTCTTCTGGCGGCTTTATTAAATTTGTTTGAATGTCAGTCCGTTTGTTTGAATGTAATAAAATGATTTTGAAGGAATTTTGGTCGGAATTTTTGAACAACTTTGATTCTTCGGAAGACACGCGACGATTACAAATTTTAGCAGCGGGGACTGACAGATCATATACCATCTAGATGCATATACGTTGTATGTTAATCGTTACTGATGGATTTAATTCCCTAAAATAACAAGAGATCGATAGAATATAAAGAAAATGTTCTTGACTAGGTTATCTAATGAATAATTGGTAAATGATTTGTAATAAAATGTCAACAAGCACAAAATTATACTCAACATATTCCCTAGATACATACATGATTAGTTATCGTATCTGAACGTGGAGCTATGTCTTGAAATAGCGCTGAACGGTCTGAGCTGTAAAATCCAACTGACATTCTGTCGCCGAAAGTCTATAACTTTTTGATTTATGACCCAAAGCGATGACACAGTTATAAACGGCTATCTGAGAAGTTAAATGGCTGCGCAAGGTTTGACGAGCGACTCTTTATCTTTTGCGTAGATCAGGTGTAAAATTTTAAAGCATATTATACAATGCTTTTCAATGGTGACCTTTGACTTATATGGTGTCATAATATCCAGTTTACGTATTTAGAGATCATCACGTTTCACTAACACGAAATATGTCTTTGTTGGTTTATTTAAGCTTTATTTGAATAAAAAAAAATATGTGTGTATTTATGTACGCCCGAAAGAAGTTATACTTGTTTAGAGTAATGACTTTTACTGACGGTTTATTTTAATAGCATGAAATTATTGGTGAGTGTTAAAAAGTTGTTATTGGATGCAAAGTTGTTATTGGATGATAAATTAGTTACCAACATCATGAAGCTTTTTGAGGGTCGGTGCGTAATATTGTGTATAATTTTTCCAAACGTCCCAAAAGAAGTGTAACAAAGGGCGCATTTAATAGTAATACCCAAAGTTATTCTCTACCAGTTACAGCAGAATGTGGTGAGAGCTTATGCTGGTCGCTGCAAGGGACGCAGAAGTCACAAAATGTTATGGAGAGTATATATTATAAGGTATATGTATAAAAATAAACAATATGTAATAAATAATAATCAAAATAATACTGAAAATAATTTGTTTATTTTTTATTTATAAACCCAACCAGACATAACAAATGGATACCCCCTCACCCCCGCTAAAAATAATCCCTGATTAACATCGCTGATAGCAATAGTAAAACCTAGTTAAATAATTTATAAATATAATTTTTAAAAAGTGGACAGTGGAAATAAAACAGTATATTACTAGATTTTTGCAGTAAAGTGATCTGATTTTGTTTTTCCCTGCAAGAGTCGAAGTAGCTACGTGTTTTCAACTATAATATGATTCCTTAAAATCTTTAATAATCCTCATAATCGCCCCACAAACTCGTTACGTATTATAAGAAATTATTTATTCGGTCATGTACTTTCTAAAAATATGTCGTTCCAATTTATGGTAGGTTGGACGTCAATATCAAGTAATGTGGAAAATCTTTCTAAATTAAGCCAAGCTTAATCTATCCCATTTCATTTTATACACGGGCGGCGGTCTAACGGTAGCAGGGCTGAGGTTTATAACCCCCTTATGGGGTGTGCTGGGATCTAATGATCCGCATGGAAACAGAAATACGCCGAGCTTAATTTAACTTGAAGTGGATGTCTCAGTGATTTATCAAGATTTAAAAAACTACGTGCTCTGTGAAAAAATTTACTGTCACTCATATGCCTGAGCAGAGAATACGGTAGATTTTCACGGATTCTTACATTCCTGCGTCTGTTACAGGTATTGTTTACCGCCCTCGGTAATTTATAACTTGTAGCGTATTAGAATTTTATATAACTTCGACCAATTTGTATTTATTTGTACATCTTCTAAAAATGCCTGTAATATTGATTTAAATATAAAATTGGCCCACAAGAATCACCTTATTCAAAAAGTTGGTAACAGCAGGCACTTGTTACGTTATCGGCTTCAGCATATAACCGCTGCCGCACTGTCCAATTATTCAATTAATTATGATTATTGGATAATACAATGAAGTGGGATTATATTTAACAAAATCTTCTGGTAGATACGACTACACTTTGTTACGGCACACATAATACCGGATGGACTCATATTTGCAAAGAAAACACGAAATCCTTGAAATCGCTCTCAAATTCACCAACTCCGAAACTAACAGTTGTCGAGTAGCATCGAAAACATAAAACAGAAATTGCAACTTTGTTCCTGTGTGTATTGAGGGAATTTGAATTAAGCGGATCACGTAATAAAACTCAAACTCGCTCGTGAGCCGCAAAGTTGTATGCTATTTAGCATTTATCACTTCACACTCGTGGCTTTCTGTTTATTTAATGTCTTTTTTATTCTCTCGGGCTTCATTGACTTTATCGCAGTCCTTTTTATGGAAAAATGTTGTACCTTTTATGGGTAGATACGGGTGAGTAATATAACGAGACCTGTTCAAAGTGCTGGCAACCATCAAATATTCGATAATTAAACGACAATTAAAGAAAACGCAAATCAAATGAAGTTACTTCACAAAGAAAATCGTGACAAGGTTAATTTCTGCGGATCGAGAAATAAATTTAAATCGAATAGTATCTATTGTCTAGTAAAGTACTGTACCATATTTTGTCGTACTAAACCATAGGAACGTTGTTACAATGACGAAGAAAAGCAACGGTATACTGTTCAATGTGTTTTATTTGTATTTTGTTAGTACTTAAAAATGTAAACAAATTGTTTATCTAATATATAAAATTCTCGTGTCACAGTTTTCGTTGCCATACTCCTCCGAAACGGCTTGACCGATTTTGATGAAATTTTTTGTGCTTATCCGGTATCTATGAGAATCGGCCAACATCTATTTTTCATCCCCCTAAATGTTAGGGGTAGTCCACCCCTAATTTTTTTTTTTTTTTTTAGACAAAATTTTTAATTTCTATTTTTTTATGATACAACATACAAAAATACATACAACCATAAATTTTCACCCCTCTACGCAGACGTAGTCGCGGGCAGCAGCTAGTCAAATATAAAATAATGTAAAAAAAATAGTAACTTAGGTAAAGCTATACGAATACATTCAACATGAAAACAACAGCTCAACAATGATATTAAAAACAGTTACATCTCTTAATTATGTACATCTTTCACACTTTTAATGTCACGATAATCTTTAAATATTGTTTTAGCTAAAATAATATCGAAATCTTTCACACATTTGATTACACAATTTGCTAAAATTATATCGAACCTAATTCTTTTTCATAGATCCGCGAATAAGTTCTATTAGGATCGTACATATCGACGAGTTGGTTCCAATAGTTGTTTTCTTCGTGTATGAGGTGCTTTATCACTTTCTTGATACTGCGGCGTTGCTTGCCCGTGCATTTCTCGCAACCGCTCTGCAGGGCATCTGTGATGTGAGCTGAAAATATTTAAGCAGACTATACAATACATTCCCAAAGATCGACACGGCATATACAATCGCAGGGTACGACAGATGCACATGAACTTAATCACCGACCATTAGAAGAACTTGTTCCTTTGGTATCTTTTGTAGTTATTTATGTTTAACATAGCCGCGATAGCTCAGAAGCCGTGATGGCTCAAAGTATTCTAGTAACCAGAGTTCAAATCCCGGTGCCGCCGGCACATTTGATACATTATTTCACATGATCATATCACATTATTTATAACATTTTTATACGAAAGAATTTTTCATAAAAATCTACTTTTCTATGTCAAATATAAATTTTTAAATGAGCCGTGATAGCTCAGTGTCCGGGCGCTCGCCTTTAATTCAATATACTCGAGCAACCTGAGTGTGATCCCCGGTGCCGGCACCAATGAAGTTTTTAACTTTAAGTGTTGAATTTTCACGTGCTCAGCGGTGAAGGAAAACATCGTGAGGAAACCTGCATATTTACGAAATAATAACAAAAAAAAAACATATTTCGAAGATATGTGTAGTCCGCCAATCCGCAGTGGGGCCGCGTGGTGGACTATGCCCTGATGCCCTGTATAGAGGAGGCCTTTGCCCAGCAGTGGAACATGTATAGGCTGTTACTTTACTTTACTTTTTAAATGGTGTTCGAATAATAAAATTTGATTTTTAACTATAAAAATTCTGGTTGGTTTTAATTTTCGATCTACAGATCTGTATTCTGATTCGATCGGCTTCTAAGGATAAAATTCTGTCTTCAGTAACCAAATCTTTCTGTAGATTGAACATTAAAACCGGCCGTAAGAGGTTAATATATAGAGACTAGCTGCTGCTCGCGACTACGTCTGCGTAGAGGAGTGAAAATTTAGGGTTTTATGTATTTTTGTATGCTGTATCATAAAAATAAAAAATAGTATAAAAAATAAAAAAAAAATATTAGGGGTGGACCATCCTTAACATTTAGGGGGATGAAAAATAGATGTTGTCCGAGTCACCCTGGCCGATATGCACACAAAGTTTCACGAAAATCGGTCGAGCTGTCGAGAATTTTATATATTAGACTAGCTGCTGCCCGCGACTACGTCTGCGTAGAGGGGTGAAAATTTAGGGTTCTATGTATTTTTGTATGCTGTGTCATAAAAAACTAAAAACAAAAAATTTTGCCTAAAAAATAAAAAATAAAAATTTAGGGGACTCCCTTTAACATTTAGGGGGATGAAAAATAGATGTTGGCCGATTCTCCACCCTGGCCGACAATCACGCTAAGGATCACAAAAATCGGTCGAGCCGTTTCGGAGGAGTTCAAGTTCGAACCCCGTGACACGAGAATTTTATATATTAGATAGATTGTAAAGTGCACTCGAAAGGGAGATCGTGCCAAGAGAGCATATATGGGGCAACCAAACGGGAAGCGTCCTGTTGGTCGCCCCAGATATCGCTGAAAAGAAAGCTGGAAGTCAAAAAAGATCTGAGAGCTCTCCAATCAGCCAATTGGCTAGAAACAGCCCAGAACAGAGAGCTGTGGCGTCTTTTCATGTCAGAGGCCAAGATCCTCTTTGGTGCGCTGAGCCAGCCAAGTATATGAGCAAGTAAGTAAAGCACTCACACTTAAGCTCCCTTCCCTCGGGTGTGCAGCGGCCCTTATCCAGCACGCACTTCACGTAGGCGACCAGCAACCTCTTGTTCGCGATCACGTCGTCCACGTTCATCGAGTCGTATCTGTCGGTGTACGTGTCGGCCGCCGCGACGACGGCAAGAGCGGCTAAGGCAGCGAACAGCAGGAAATTCATTCTGGGAGAGAGCCAATTGTCACTTTGTTGGTTTCTAAACGTAGCTAATAAAAGATACAATGATGAAGCAAGATAAAGAAACGTGTATGCTTTACCGTAATTAACGCGTTGATATTCGTTCACACATAAACAAAGATTAATAAAGAACGCGTTCTCCCTACAAAATTGTAATGTTTATTATATTTCACTATGTGGTCTTAATGTGTTCATGTTCTATCTAACCACCTACTACTATGTTCCATGTCAACTATGTTCCATGGGCTCTTATAAATCGCCCGATAAATATCATTGTAAGACATTTTTGTATGCTTTATTAAATGTAATTAATAATTAATAAATATCTTGTGATAAAAATGTTGTCATTTGACAACATTTGTAGCGACGGAGCTCATTACTTTTCTTTGAATTAAAAATGCATTGTACACTATTGATTGAATGATATTCATATATGTTTATATTTTTCAGGTAAGTGCCGGCTGCAAGTTCAGGTAAAAACTAATTAGGTGAATAGAAATCCTTACTTGGTAAATAGTTTCACAGTAAATGGTAACTTGAACAAACGGCGACCTCCTTTCACTAAGGAACAATGGAACTGCGAGAGATGGAAAGTGCCTTAGATTTTTATATCCGAACAGCATCCTTAACGGGTCTCCTTGTAAAGTTGATTCATTCAATTGAATAGGCACGCGGCGGGAAGGAGCCATAAAAATTCTTTCTCCGTCCCTTTCTCTGTTTGATTTGTTACATTGTTTGAGGGTCCATCTTTCTCTTTCACGTTCGTCATTCCAAGAACATTTTAAGGCATAGTATGATTAACTCTCCGCAGTATGAAATGATCGCGTTACTGACAGGAAATAATCCGGTGGTCTCTCTGCAGTTTCTATTATCTATGACCCTTTTATGTATTCTTATGATATTGAATTTTCTTTAATGAACGGTTTCGTTTTCGTTTCTTTTAAAATATTGGCTTCGGCGCCTGTGTTCGTGGGTTCGATTCCTACACGGGACAACGAATGAGACAAACCCGCAGATGATTGTTTCTAATATGGCTGTGTGTCCGTGTGAAATTTATGTAACACAGGATTATATTGTAATAAAATAAGGGCAATATTTTTAGAAACGGAACAAAAAAAAATAGTTCGTGCTCGTTCTTAATGATTAAGTGGAATAAGAGTTATCTATTTAGTAATGTGTTTGTTTTATTCGATTGGTTTATAATCCTACTCACAGATGGGTACGAATCACCAAAGTCACCCGTATCAACTATCTACTTGATTTGAGCATTTAACAGTATCATTAATTATTACTAAATCTTACTAAATCTAATTCAGATTTTATAGTATACAAATTTTCCTATGATAAAGATTTTCAAAAAGTATAATCTATAATAGTTATAGTTTATTTATCCTTGATATTATAGTTGATTTATTTATCCTTTATTGCCACGCTCTAAACAGAGAATTGCAAATGGCGAACTTAATGCCAATTAACCCGGGGCTTGGAGGAAAATTGTAGTAAGTGCATTAACTCATTATACAACTTAGAATATACTTGGGATTAAAAAAAAAAGTATTGGTCAATATGTTATCGATATTTCAGACGTTATGAATTTGAATTTGAATTTGAATTTGAACTCACTAATTTGTAATATCGCAGTATGTATGTTCAATATGTTACACGTTGAGTTAAATGCTACATTAACATAAATGTTAATTATAGTTAAGACGAAATTGCATCATTATTTCACCTTTCCTTGACCTAGTCACGCTTCGATCTGAGTAAAGCTAGAACAATTGTATCATTTGAATGCACCATAACCTTCGTAAACGTTAACAACTATTGATGAATAAACAACAGCGACCCACAATCTTGCCTCGATTAATAGTAATTTTCAGGTCATCGTCTACAATTATGACACAGAGGAAGAGTCAAAAGTATGTACTCGTTTTAAAGAAAATGGAATGTAGTTTTTAATTATTAGTGCTTGTGTCTGCATTTAAGATAAATTATGTAGATAAATATCGATAAGTTTTTCGTCGCTACCTGGATTTGAACCGCGCTTTATATGTATGTACCGCGCAGATCTCGACGTATTATTAAATTTGTTTTTATTGCATTTTAGCAATGCCTGTCGTTATGTAACTTGATTACTTTACAGCAAGAGTATTTTCTCAACTAACTTTTTAACAATCAATATTTGAAAACGAGATTTCATTGATATTTTTTTTTTTAGTGGCAGTGACTGCGCTTAAGATGAAACGTAAAACTGTCGCAAAATGTTTACATACTAATGTAACTTACTAATGTAACACATGAAATAAAGTAAAACACATTACTAAAACGGATCTTAGAAACGTATATCTTTTTACGTAAAAAAATGGCAAGCGAGCTGGCGGTTCATCTGATGCAAAGAGATGGAGAGAGGAGGTTAGTGGAGGGAGTTAGTGGGAACATTTGGATGTAACTAAATCCAACAAGCTTTTATGAAGTATCTATAGGTAGATATTGTGATTTATTTATTAACCTGACGATTCCGGAAAGTTGACCTATATTCGTACCAAATTGTATATACATCTACACTATTATGTATAATCGCAATTTGATGTAAATATCATACAGTTTATTGATCTAATATTTACAAGGTTAAATCTATCTAAAATTGCATATTATCTAATTAACCTAATCCACGCGGCAAGTTGCCAATTTAATTAAATTGTATGTAACATATACATTTCGACGTATTGAAACTTGTTTACTAACTTTCCTCCATAGCGCAAAATTTCTTATTCTGAACGTGTTTATTATAATGTTTATAATAAATACGTTTTTTTTTTTCGAAGCAAATTCCAAATATTTTATGTTTTTAATCAATGCTAAATACTAGTTCTGGAGAGTCGATAATTGAAACTTACAAATTTGAGTAAAATTGTGAGTAAAATTTGAGTTGTTCAAAAGCTTAGTCATGTCAAACTCACTTGTCACCCGTCCGCAAAGTAGAATAATTATATATTTGTATTTGCAGCATAATATGTTATCTTTCTTTTTTATAAAACACTATAATTAAATATATTAGTATATAAATATTGAAATGTTCAAAACAAGTCATGTGGCGCCACCTTATCTGGATATATGTAATCTGTCATTTAATAAATTTTTTTAGTCTGTAAAAACTTCTTGCTGCGTTTTATTAAAATATATATATTTCGAGATATATGACGACTTGAATGGCGTAGTGGGTAGTGTACCCGCTTCCGGCGCCGGAGAATTTTATACACAAAAGAAAAGTATGTTTAAGTATGTCTATCTAATAATACCCATAGCACAAGCGTTGCTAATGTTGGGTCTAGAGAACGTTGTGTAAAAATGTGTCCTAAAATATTTATTTATTTATTTATTACATATAAAAGTTGTTTGTACTGATTTCTACAATATGTAGTACTGATTCCCATAATATGTTCCTGTATTATATTTAAACTTCCTTAGTTAATAATGTTTTGTGATTATTTTACTTATAACAGAAATTCGTAAGCGGTCATCTGACAACGGTGAAATACTGCATCTTTAAAATATTTGATTATTTACATTAACGTTATAATTCTCGTTAAGATGCTCCCACGTGTTTCTAGGAACGCTTTTTTAATTCATAGTTACTAGCGAGTCGTTGTAATGCGATAAAACGAACGTGCGCAGAATTCATTTGGACGAGACCAATACAAACATTTTATCGCTCCCAACTACCTAACCAACCCTTATAAGTATACTTTAAGGTGAAAGGAAAATAGTGGATCCATTGACGACACTTTAGTTCACGCTCATGGCTAACCGACACGCCTTTCGTGCTTTCTAATATAAATAGTAAATGTATGCAATCGAAACTATGCTTATTACTAATTAGAGATATGTCAGTAAAACTTCGCGGGATGAGATCGATGAAAGGGAAGAAAGGTTATTATTATTATTATATGCTTTATTGAACACCATAAACATATATGAGAAATGTTACATAAATAACTTATAAGTAACAATAAGGCGGTCTTATCGCTAAAAAGCGATCTCTTCCAGACAACCTTGTGGCTAAAAGTACAATATTTTGGACAACGGTAGGTGGTGCAAATGATAAACTTACATACGAAGATCTAAATAAACTGAACGAATATTTATATTTTGTAAAATAATAATATACTAATATATACCAATTAATTATATACAATAGACATACATAAAACTAAACATATACTGTACAATAACTTACAAAAATATATACGGGGAGAGAAAAATATAAAATAAATATACAAATGTCGTCAGTGACAATCAGTGTCAACACAGTGACAGATAGTAATTTTTAACATTAGTTTTAAATTTTCTTAACGTTTTTGAGCGCTGGATTTGTGGAGGTAGCGCGTTCCATAAGCATATGGCTTTGACTGTAAAAGAATTCTTAAAATAGTTGGTCCGGTAAAGGTTCTCGAATGACAGGCTTTTATTGGCCATCGTACTACAAAACTAGATGGATTTTTGTCTATATACAGTTATAATATTTCATAAACATGCTGTGAAATATAAAGCAATAGAAGATTTATATATAATGAATAATCAATTGACACAATTCGATGACTGATTGACTTTGCAAAGGTAATCTGTCAATCTCTATGACATGTTTTTGTTGTATAAAATCAAAGTGCCAAAGAAAGGTGACAGATTTGTTGTTATGGTAGAGAAAAATACATGTCAGATAAAACTTGGTTAGTGAATGCCATTACTGATTTAGTATCCAAATGGTGAATTTTAATTATTTAAAATTATAAAAAGTTTACGAGGTTTCAATAGATATTTGATACCTTATAGTGTATAAAAATCAAAATTCATTAAAAAAAAAAAAAACGACGTCTCTATCCGTCTAACTTTGTACCGCTTATAACTCGAAAACCACTGATTGAATGTATATAAGCATGTTTAATATACATTTTCTAATAATCGGTCAAAGATAACGCGCTTCATGC